TTCCTCAATGGCTCAAGGGGGCGTTTCTTTCAAAAAGGTTAAGAACCACTGCTCTAGAGTAACACTGAAGGGCTCAATATGGGGAAATGGGTACAGGTGGTGAGGAACCTGAAATACTCCCCCCCCAATCCATGACAGGTACAGATGGAAGGCTTTTTAAAAAAGTTGAATGACTAATTATTCATACTAAATGGAATGAATGGACCAAAGTTAGGCTGCGACTACATGGCCGAATACCATGAGATTTGCTCCACTTATAAAATGGGGGAATTCAAAGTATTTTTTACTGACCGCATGACACAGAGGCTGAGTTGAATCGCTCCAGCTCCTTTGCTCCCAAAGTGGCTTTTTCTTTTGCCACTCAGAGCATCTTCTTTTTGAAGCCAGAACGGCTTTTCCCACGTGGTTACTTGTGATACATTCATAGAAGCAGAGAATGGTGAAGTTGGAAGGGGCCGATAAGGCCATCAAGTCCAACCTTCCTGCTCGATCCAGAAATGCAAACATTTTTGTAAAGACGTGTGTGTGTCTGTAGGTGATGTTTTGGTGATCCCTAGACAGTTGGGATGTGATGTTCAGGACTAGCGGAACATGGTTGTGCATTCTTCCCTCTCCCCGGATCACCCTCCATGTTTTTTTTTAGATTTTTTAAAAAAATCTTACATAGATTAGTATTAGATCGCCCTGTCGACTTATCACGGTGTCCTTGGTTTTATTTCCTGTATTTACACTCCCGTAAAAGGATCGGCAGAAGCAGAAGCAGAGGAAGGAAAGGAAGAAGGGGAGGCTGTGGACTGGAATGCAAATCACATTGCATCCTATATGAATGTTGAACGCCCAAAATCAAGCCCGTAGCCCTGTGAGTGCGCTGGCCGTGATCACGAATGTAATACTTGCTACGAATCAAAGTACAGTGTAGGCGCACTCTTAGTCACGGTAAGTCAATCATGCTAACTTAAGCCCCGAGGATTTCAGCATAATGAAAGCAGTAGTATGTGTGAACTGCAGAGATTCAGTATGAAGAACATACGCAGGCAGGCACTGTAAATCAGGCTGTGCATTATCTTACAAACTAAATTAAGAGCCTCGTGGCGCAGTGGTTAAAACGCTGTACTGCAGCTAAAACTGTGCTCACGACCTGGGGTTCAAATCCCAGGTAGCCGGCTCAAGGTTGACTCAGCCTTCCA